CGCTTCAAATCAGCTGCTCTATCGATGTTCTGTTTGAACAGTGTCGATAAGGTTGAATTTTTGCGTTTGTGTGCGTGTTGTTTTATTATGTTGTTTATTATTTTTTCGCTGTAACCATTTGTTTCTGCTGCTGCTTGGATATAATTGTACTCTTTCGTGTAATTTGGCAGCGANTAAGGTTGAATTTTTGCGTTTGTGTGCGTGTTGTTTTATTATGTTGTTTATTATTTTTTCGCTATAACCATTTGTTTCTGCTGCTGCTTGGATATAATTGTACTCTTTCGTGTAATTTGGCAGCGATAGGGGCAAGTTAACTAAACGATGCGCGAGGGAGTGAAGCGCTGCTAATTTATGTTGGATTGGGGTATATGAATAGCTCGGAATGTATCGCAGAGTGCTTGTCGGCTTATGGTGTATCGCGATGTCGATTTTGTTTTGCTTTCGCGATAATTCTAAATCCAAGAAAATGAGCTTTTTGCCATTTTCTACTTCACAGGTGAACTTTATTTCTGGATATTGCGAATTTAGGGTATCCAGTATGTTTCTTACTTCACTCTTTTTGACAACTGCGATACGTCATCGACGTATCTGTACCATATGCGTGGTAATTTGTTTTCCGATTGTAACTCCATTTCAAATTTGGCCATAAAAACTTCTGAGATGAGTGGTGACAACGGGTTTCCCATGCTGGTTCCCTTTAAGATTTTAAAAAAGCCAACGTGCTATCTTAGTACACGGTGCTGAAGTGAGCGCTACAATTTGTCTCATTTTTTCTCCTGGTTTGTGTATTTTCGGAAGGCAATATAATTTTGGGACCTCCGGATGAGAAACTAAAAGTCTCCATTTGAAGCGTTCCCCAAAAACACTACTGATTTCTTTTCGAATCTCATTTGCCGTTTTGGACATTAGGTTTAGTGGTGACTTTTTTATATTTTTGTATTTGTTATCTTCGATTAATTTNGGTGACTTTTTTATTTCTTTGTATTTGTTATCTTCGATTAATTTCCAAACCCTCCGTTCGTATTCAGCTGTGTCCATGATAACAATCTTATTCCCCTTGTCCGCCTTCATTATGTAGATGTCCTTTTTACAAAGGTCCTTCATAATTTCCGCTTCATTTGTACTACGGCGTGTTTCTTGTTTTAAATTTTCAATGCGTTTTTTAGTACATAGACGGATATCATTTTTGGTAAATTGTGACGTGGATTTCAAAACTGTTTCTATATCAACAATAACATCTTTTAGAGGTGTTGTTTTTGGGCGAATGCCATAGTTTAGACCCTTATTTAGCAGGTTAAGTTGGTCAGTCGATAAATTCACATTAGAGATGTTGACTACGGCATCTTCGACAAGTAGAGGTTTTTTGAAGTTTTTCTCCCCTTTGGGCTGATTTTTTAAAAGGTTGGCAAATTTTCTATTTTGGGCTTCTCGTTTGATTTTGACCAAATTTTCGATGCTTCGAGAAGACGCTCGTAGAAATTGATACAATTCACAGTCATATGATGCTTCAATTTTGTCATTAGGTATCGCAGATGCTAACCGCAGGTGTAAAGCATATAGGTGAATCTCATAACTTTGTAATGTGGCGTATTTAGCTTTTAGCTCCAAACTCAACCAATTCTGTTTTGCTAATGAGATCACTTTTTCAGTTACCGCATTTGTCACAGATGTTTTGACCTTAATGAAATTTGGTGTAACTTTGTAACGTTTGCATCTTTTCAAAAACGCTATGTCCAACTTTAATGATTCTACCTTTGACTTTAGTCGGGTAAACTCGTTTCTTATTGACATGGTTGTCTTAATTTTTGTTTTTTCGAAGGAGGGAAACGATATACACAAGCTCTTATTAATTATGAAATTTATGATGAAACAAAAACACCTTTTTATTAAGCTTGTAAAATTGTTTTAATCAAATTTTATTTTAACTTTTTTATTTTGAATTAAAAAACAAACTTCGTATGCATTTCGAGCAGCTTTCCGCTCATCATCAGCAACACGACTAAAGCATTAGTAGCGCTAATACATACATATGTGTGTATGTAGATACACAAAGTTAGGCAAAAGCGCCAAATGACAAAACAAGTGCAAAGACAAATTAATAACATTATACATAAATACGAAACTTCAACAAGTGCAAAGACAAATTACATAAATACCAAGCTTAAAACTAGTGTGACTGCCGTCGGCGCAAGCAAAACAAATCCGATTCGATGTTCGCCTTGTCTAGATTCATCGCCGATCTGTCATTACAAATATACATGCTTTCGTAGGCGTCAAGTTTTCTTTCGTCGTGTACATGTTTTAATAGCTGCACCTTGCTCGCTGACACTGGTAAGTGCTGATCTCCTAATACATGCGCTGCGAATGCAGATCGTCTCGGGTCATTGTTTTCGACGCATTGTTTGTGTTCGCTGTATCTCTTTTTGATAGTGCGTTTGGTTTGTCCATAGTACCTTTTTTCTTCGCAGAAACCACACGATATTTTGTAGATGCCTGCTTTGTCTAGTGGGTCTGTTCTGTCTTTTAGGCTTTTGAAATGATTTTTCAATTTGAAGGGGTTGGAGTTCACTATTTGCATTTTGTTCCTCTGGAATGCTGTTTTTAGGCCGTTGGTTATTTTTGGTGCAAAAATGATAGACACGCGCTTCAAATCAGCTGCTCTATCGATGTTCTGTTTGAACAGTGTCGTTAAGGTTGAATTTTTGCGTTTGTGTGCGTGTTGTTTTATTATATTGTTTATTATTTTTTCGCTATAACCATTTGTTTCTGCTGCTGCTTGGATATAATTGTACTCTTTCGTGTAATTTGGCAGCGATAGGGGCAAGTTAACTAAACGATGCGCGAGGGAGTGAAACGCTGCTAATTTATGTTGTATTGGGGTATATGAATCGCTCGGAATGTATCGCAGAGTGCTTGTCGGCTTATGGTGTACCGCGATGTCGATTTTGTTTTGCTTTCGCGATAATTCTAAATCCAAGAAAACGAGTTTTTTGTCATTTTCTACTTCACAGGTGAACTTTATTTCTGGATATTGCGAATTTAGAGTATCCAGTATGTTTCTTACTTCACTCTTTTTGACAACTGCGAAGACGTCATCGACGTATCTGTACCATATGCGTGGTAATTTGTTTTCCGATTGTAAGTCCATTTCAAATTTGGCCATAAAAATTTCTGAGATAAGTGGTGACAACGGGTTTCACATGCTGGTTCCCTTCAAGATTTTAAAAAATTTTTCTCTGAAAACGAAATAGTTTGTGTCCATACACATCCTTGCCGCTCGCATGTATACATTGAGTTCTTTTTCGCTGATATTTTGATTTTTTAAATGCGCTTCTAAAGCGGTCATTGCTTGGCTTACTGGTAGTGATGGGAATAATGCTTCCACGTCAAACGAAACCATGACTTCGTCATCCTTCACTGCTGGCTGATCAATAAGGCCGGCGAACTCGATCGAGTTTTTAATCCCCCGATTGATAAAAGGGGGAAACTTATTGATTTCCTCGACAAGCCAACATGCTATCTTAGTACACGGTGCTGAAGTGAGCGCTACAATTTGTCTCATTTTTTCTCCTGGTTTGTGTATTTTCGGAAGGCAATATAATTTTGGGACCTCCGGATGAGAAACTAAAAGTCTCCATTTGAAGCGTTCCCCAAAAACACTACTGATTTCTTTTCGAATCTCATTTGCCGTTTTGGACATTAGGTTTAGTGGTGACTTTTTTATTTCTTTGTATTTGTTATCTTCGATTAATTTCCAAACCCTCCGTTCGTATTCAGCTGTGTCCATGATAACAATCTTATTCCCCTTGTCCGCCTTCATTATGTAGATGTCCTTTTTACAAAGGTCCTTCATAATTTCTGCTTCATTTGTACTACGGCGTGTTTCTTGTTTTAAATTTTCAATGCGTTTTTTAGTACATTGACGGATATCATTTTTGGTAAATTGTGACGTGGATTTCAAAACTGTTTCTATATCAACAATAACATCTCTTAGAGGTGTTGTTTTTGGGCGAATGCCATAGTTTAGACCCTTATTTAGCAGGTTAAGTTGGTCAGTCGATAAATTCACATTAGAGATGCTGACTACGGCATCTTCGACGACCATAGCAGAATTTCACCAACACCACCAGGAAATCCTCGAAAGGCGGCTGACTTCCAAAACGTCAATTGCTTTGCATACGTACAAAGTATAACGTTTTATCCCCGCAAACATATTCTGAGCGTTCAGAATATATGAGTCCGAAAGGTGTCCTAGGTAGGTAAGAAATATGAGTTTCAAAAACAAAAAATTTTTTACTCTTATATGAATCTTTTAGGATTCATATATGAGCCAAGTTATGAGCCAGCACCTTGTGCCAATATAAAAACAATAAAGATTTGAAATTTATATCTAAACTTGTTTATACAGAAATTGAAAATAATTAGAAAACAAAAAATGAACAAAATTTAGCTTCAGCTGCTGCTATTGAATGCATGTTGGAATGTGTATATGCATGTAAGTATGTATGTATGTTATTTGCAAGGACTTTTTGCGGAATGCCTTTGCAAATATAGTGAGTTGAATAAGACTCAAAGAGCAACCTAAAATAAGAGTCCGAATGTAGCAATTTATGAGGCCGATAAGGGTCTCAAACAGAGTCATATATGAGGCCAAAACTTGTTTTAAAATAGTCTAAAATGAGCCGTATATGAGGCCAATAAGAGTCCAATATGACTCATATTGAGGCTCATTTGATGTATGAATTTAAGCTCATATAAGTCGACATTCGTAGGAAGGGAAACACACTCATATCGGACTCTTAAATGAGCTCATTATGAGCGTAATAGCTCTGAAATAGGACTCCTTAAAGACTCATTTATGACTCCAAATGTTTGCTGGGATAACGCCGAACTACAAAATGTTGACGATGTATACTCTTCCAAAACGCATCCGAAAATTTATCGAAATGCATCGCTAGCGCAATCAGTGCATCAGAAACAAAGTTGATGCTTCGTTTGTTATTGGTTACCATTGGTGTTTTAAAAATGGAAAATTCATAAAAATTGTTCATTGGTATATTGAGTATTTAAAATATGCAATGTATATGGTTGCAATGTGTCGCAACCCTGCATATACAAACAGTTTTGAATACCGCAGTATAACAGTTTCCAAATATTGTATTGATACGTTTTGGAAGCCAGCCGGCCTTTCAGCGATTCCGGATGAGTGGGTAAGTCAACTCATTTCATATGTGCTAAATATATCTGTGTATGTGTGTCTATTTTAATTTTCTGCCAACCGGAGCGCAGAAATGTAAATTAATTATGCATAATGCTAATACGCATCATATTGTTGTTCTCCGTTTGCTTTGCATTGTGTGTTGTTGCATTTTGGCATGGGATTAGGCAAATTTAAGCAATAGTATAACACTTAATTCATGTGTATAACAGTCGACCGCTGGCTACGTTGTTGTTGCGGTTTATACAATTGCTTTGACTCTGCTTGCGCCTTCCTATTGCTGTCCTCACAGTGAGTTTGACAAACACACGTATGTACATACATAAATTTGTTTTAGTTTTTTGTTTTTTTCGCCAACGGGACGAAGTTCCAAAAACCAGTTTTGTTGATATCATAATTGGAAACTCAAGCTGAATTATGTTATTATGAATTTTAATTTTCATTGAGAGCGTGTTAACAAATAGAAAAATTGTGAGAAGGTTGATGTAGACAAAAAAAAAAAGTGTCATGATATATAAATCACATGCGATAAAATGTTTGTGCGATTTGAATTAAAGGCGAATTTCCGATAGAAGAATAAGCAGACATTTCTGGAGTTAATTTACACAAGAAAGGAAAAGTTCATCACTACTTGAAATTAAAATTTGTTTCCAGGTTTAAAAATTTTCCGCACCTATTCATAGTATAGCTTTGTAAAATCTATAAAACTAGGGTATAAGATTTAGAGTATACGATTTAATTATAGTGGAATAAATAATGTAAGTTAATACATATGTACATCAGAATGTGCTAATTGCCTCTTTTATTCCTTGGTAATGTGGGCAGTTTAAAGAATGTACGGGCTTTTGGGTATATATTGGTGCAACCAAAAGCATAGGTAGGGAGGGTAATGAAAAGCACCCAGTATCGCCCCTACATCTTGCGATACTCCTGGCCTTTTAAATTACTTTCCATTAGTACCGGTTTATTGTATAAATTTTGTTCTTCCCGTCTTTTATCATTTCTAGATTTTTTTTTCAAAGAAAAGGGTTTAAAAGGGACTCTGATAACAAAATGTTTTGTAATGCGCTGGTTCAAGGAATGCCAAGAATCCCCCCCGCTCGACTGTAAGCTAGTTTCATGAATGGGTCCCGACCGGCATGCACTTTTCCAGCAACAAAATTATGGGTTTTGAGAGACAAGCTTTCTTCCGTGTTTGCTTACAACGACAATAGGTAGAAGTTGCGGTCTTCCTCTGCAAATTACCTATGGTATACCCACTCCATCCTTGGATCCATTCCAATTCTGGCGCCCAACGTGGGGCCTAAAAAGCGAAGGTTTCGGCTATATTTTATGTTGTAATCATGCTTTTAGTTCCCCAAAATGAGGATTAGCTTGCTACGTTTTGTCCCACATAATGAGATAGAATTTACCAAGTTTCGACCTCGTAATTAATAAAATTTTACCTAAGTAATAAAGTTTCCAGCTCGGGTAATTTTCTGTGCTTCAAGTGGATGTATACCTTGAAGGAATTCAGATTTTAGGCATATCAGCCCTAGAACTTCCTGCCACTTGTGTTGAGATTCATTATTGA